CGTCGTCGTTGTTGTGTTAACTGGTGGCTCCCGATCTCGGGCCTCCAGAATTCTCCGGGGACTTGCCGAAAGCCTCTAGTCCAGGACGCCCAGATGAGCTACGGAGGAGACGGGGTCGTCTTCACCGACGTCGGCGCGTAAGCCGTCCGCGTGGGGCCGCGCGTCAGCGCCCTCGTCCTCAACGTAGCGCGCCGCGCCGGCGGCCCGCGTAAGCCGACGCTTACGGTCGCAATGTCTCGGCCACGCGCAGAGGTGGGCAGAGGGAGGGCAGAGGGAGGGGGGAAGGCTCTTTAGAAGCGCCCCTGCTCAGAGGGCGCGGGCCTTCTCTGTGGATGCAGGGCTGGCGTCTTCTGAGAAGCGGCCTGCCTCTAACACGCCTTCCCCTCCCCCTGCACCCTTGCAGGGCTTGTTTCGATTCTTCCGATTCGATTCGATTTGACCTCGACGGCTTCCGATTCCGATTCGATTCGACTCGGGAATCCGATTCGGGTTCCGATGTCTCGTTGGAGGCGCATTGGCCTGCCGATCTCCGCCGATCCGACTCTTCCCGACTCGGGTGCCGACTTGCGCCGATCTACTTCAGTTCGATCGCCGATCCGACTTCTCGATTCGATTCTGGGCTCTCCTGCCCTTGTGCGCGTGGCCATTGGCGCGTAAGCTGCCCGCGTGAGGTCACGCGTCGGCGCCTTGGCCTTAAACACAGCGTGACGCGCTGGCGGCTCGCGTGAGCCACCGCACAGGGTCGCTGCGCCACCTCGCGCAAGGCCCCCTTCCGATCGTCGCTCGGATGCCACCTCGCGCCACGCCCGTGTCCTCTGCCTCGCCCGGCAGCCTGGGGCGCGAGGAGGCCCAGGTAGGGGGCCACATGCGAACCCTGCGCCTACCCCCCACGATTTCTGAGGGGGAGGGTGGGGTTCACTTCGCTCGGGAGCTCCCAGACGACGTGAACCCCACCCTCCCCCCTCAGAAATCGTGGGGGGCAGGGGTGGGGTTCGCGTGTGGCCGGCCCACTACCAGTGGGGCGCAGCAGCTCGCAGAGGCGCGTGTGCCCGGTCTGTGGAGGCGGCAGGTGGCCGGCGGCTGCCCCCGCCCCCCCCCCCCCTCGCCTCCCCTCTCGGGTGCTGCCGGAGGTGCCCCTGGCCCAAGGGCTGAGTGGGAGGCCGACTGCGGAGACGGTGGATTTGCCCGAGGTTAGTTCCTCTTGTTCTGTTTGTTTGGTTGGTCGGTTGCTTGGTTGTTTGTGTTTGTTCGTGCGTGTGTATGTTGCTTGTTTGTTTGTTTGTTTGCTTGTTTGCTTGTTTGTTTGCATATTTGTTTCGTCTATGTGTTTTACTTGTTTGTTCGTTTGGCTTTTTGTTTGTGCGTTTGTTTGCCAGAGTGAGGGGGTCGAACGGTCATTCATTGTCCCTGGGTGCGTGGCTGAATAGGGAATATGTGGTGAGAACTCTGCTTGTTGCGTTGTTGCTGCTGTTGTTGTTGTGGTTGTGGTTGTGGTTGTGGTTGTGGTTGTGGTTGTGGTTGTGGTTGTGGTTGTTGTTGTTGAATGAGGACGATTAGACCGGCCCGGGGGGACCCCAGCAACCCCAGCAACCCCAGCAACCCCAGCAACCCTTCCGCGGCCGCGGAAGGGGTCCTGGTAGGATCCCATAGGATTCCTGAGGGATCCCTATCGGATTCCTCAGGGATCCCATAGGATTCCTTAGGGATCCCATAGGTTTCCTATACGATTCCTATAGGATTCCTTAGGGATCCCATAGGATTCCTATACGATCCCTATAGGATTCCTAAGGGATCCCATAGGCTTCCTCAGGGATCCCATAGGATTCCTCAGGGTACCTAAGGGATACCCATAGGATCCCCATAGGATTCCTAAGGGATCCCATAGGATTCCCATACGATTCCTTTAGGATCCGCATAGGATTCCTATAGGATTCCAGTAGGATTCCTAAGGGATCCCATAGGATTCCTCAGGGACCCCATCGGATTCCCAAGGGACCCTACAGGATTCCTCAGGGATCCCATAGGATTCCTAAGGGCTCCCATAGGATTCCTAAGGGACCCCATAGGATTCCTAAGGGATCCTGTAGGATTCCTTAGGGATTCCATAGGATTCCTAAGGGATCCCATGGGATCCTATAGGATTCCTCAGGGATCCCATAGGATTCCTAAGGGGCCCCATAGGATTCCCAAGGGATCCCCATAGGATTCCTAAGGGAGCCCATAGGATTCCCATACGATTCCTATAGGATCCGCATAGGATTCCTAAGGGATCCTATAGGATTCCTAAGGGATCCTATAGGATTCCTCAGGGATCCCATCGGATTCCTAAGGGATCTCATAGGAATCCTAAGGGATCCCATAGGATGCCTATAGGATTCCAATAGGATTCCCATAGGATCCCAGTAGGATTCCTCAGGGACCCCATAGGATTCCCAAGGGATCCCATAGGATTCCTAAGGGATCCCATAGGATTCCCGTACGATTCCTATAGGATCCCCATAGGGTTCCTAAGGGATCCTATAGGATTCCTAAGGGATCCTATAGGATTCTTGAGGGATCCCATCGGATTCCTAAGGGATCCCATAGGATTCCTAAGGGATCCCATAGGATTACTATAGGATTCCAACAGGATTCCTATAGGATCCCCAGTGGGATTCCTAAGGGAACCCATAGGATTCCTCAGGGACCCCATAGGATTCCCAAGGGACCCTACAGATTTGACTTCGCCATCCCTGGGGGGGCTGCGGTCTGCGAAACTGTCGCCACTTTCGAGGGCTGCTGGGGGGGGGGGGGGGGGCATCGGAGTGACCTGCGCGGGGACTTAGTATAAACAGGTTGGATCCTTCGGAACGCTGAAATAGGAATTCGATAGGAAATGGTCGAGTCCCAGCCGCCGGAGGAATTCCTTAATCATTTATTTGTTTTTGAATCGGAATTCAATAGGACATGGTCGAGTCGGGGACGGGGGGGTCCTTAACTGCGTCCCCCCGTCGGGGCCCGAAAATGAACCTCTTGGGGCCCTCGTGGGCCGCTCTTGGAGCGGTCTTGGGTGTTCTTGGGGCGGTCTTGGGGCCCCCCTGGGCCCCTTTTGGGGCCCTCTTGGGCCATCCAGAAGCCATCTTGAGGCCTCAAGAGGCCATCGGGCGCGAAAGGGTGACAATGCAAAAAACATCGGAAAAACATACAGGATTTGAATGATTTTGGCCTCTTGAGGGCTTCCTTGGAGGGCTCGAAAGGCACTTGGAGCCGTCCTGGGGCGGTCTCCAGAGCTCTTGGATGCATGTTGATAGCTATCTTGAACCATCTTGGGATATCTTGCGCGATCTTGGAGACCATCTTGGGCTCTCTGGGACCCGCTTGGAGCCATCTTGGGCCATCTTGGACGCTCCAACCGCTCGCGGCACCCTCCCTCCAGGTCCAGGGGGAGGGGGTAGGGGGAGGGGGAACCCCCTCCCCGAAGGGGAAAAAGGGGGTTTAGCAGAACGAGCTCCTTAGACCACTCACGCCCTAAAGTGCTGGTGGGATTCGCCGGTTTGGGCCCACGCTGGCTAACATCGTAGCCACTCTGCCCCAGGCCTCTTGGGCGAACCCCACCGCGAACACCTTGGGCAAAGCTGTTGTTGTTGTTGTTGCTCCTGGGTCTCCTCCTCCTTGCGTTCCAGCGTGGGCGTGCATGGTTGAATGCGCCCAGGGTATTTTTTCTTCGGGCCCCAGGACTCACGGAAATCGACCCGCGGTCCGAAATCATGATTCCAGGACGGCCTCCAGGTGCGCAGATCGCTCAAGAGTGAACGACCCACGCGATGTCAGCAGCCAGTTCCCATGTCGTCGCGACTGCGGTCGTCTGCGTCGTCGTCGTCGCCATCGCCCTCATGTCATCGGCTGGCTCGAGTGGCGCCCTGCGCCCTGGCTTTCAGCAAGCTGATTTCCTAAGCTCCTCCCATATTTCCATATCTCTAAGCCCCGACGGCATAGCCTAACGGCGCCGATGGTGGCCCTCGCCTACGGTCGTCTGGCCATGATGGCGATCACCAGGGTGGTTTTCGAGGGCGGCTTGACCGGCTCCGCCTGGGGCGACTGGTCGCTCTACCCGGGCTCCCCGGATTTGGCGGTCCAGGATCCGTAGAGGGAAGCTACACGCACCACCACCATGCCTCAGCAGGGCCATCCTGGGATGCAGGATGCTGTATCGACCCTCCTGCCCAAGGCAGGAGGGCGCATACACCGTGCCGGGGTCCAGGATGGCCCTGGCCTGGCGTGGTGGCGGTGTATGCTTACCTGCCTTCTCGCGTGCAGGATCCAGTTGGCTTCGCCGTGAGCAGCACGCCAGACCTCAGCAGCAGCACCGTGACCATCACGATCATCACCGGCTCCGACTTGGGCGTCTTGGAGCTCCACAGCAACAACACCACAGACACCACCGCGATATTCTTCGGCAGGGAGCGATCGCGTTTGTTCTGGTGCACGCGGCGGCGGCGGTGGCGACGGCAACGGCTTCGCCGAGGCCGTGCCCTACTACAGGCGGCAGCGGCGGCGGCGAACGCCAAGGCCGAGGCGTCCGGCGGCGCGGGGCGCGGCCAGGGCGCGCGGCGGATCGCGGCGGCTGCTGCGGCGGCAGGCGCCGCCGCCGCAGCGGCGGCTGGCGCGGAGGGCTCGGAGGGCCAGGCGGAGGACGATGAGTTTTCGGCCGCGGACCTCGAAAAGTGGATGGTCATCAAGAAGCGCGCAGGCTATCCATCTGGCTACAGCCAGCCCCGCCCTCGTGCCAGCGCAGCATCGCGGGGAGTGGCGGTCCGCGCGGGTCCTCCCGGGGCCCCCCAGGGAAGAACAGCCGACGCCCCTGCCAGACAGCGCATGGCACTTCAAAGCGCTTGGGCCCAGCATGGGTGGCGGATTGCGGACTATGCGTCGGAGTTTTCCGAGACTGGACAGGCCGCAAAAGCCGCAGGCCACCTTGCAAGGCGCACGCCGACAGCCGCGACGTGCTGACGCCGGAGGGGATGGTGCAGCTGCGTCAAGAGTTTGTGGAGGAGCTCGCGAACCCTGCTTTGGCCAAGGAGAGAAAAGTTGCAAAGGCAAAGGCTAGGCACCACGCGGGGTGGAAACCTCCGGAGGCGCCGCAATCTCAGGAGGAGTACCGCTTTGATTTCGGGAAACATTCTGGTTCCACCTTGAGGAGTGTGCTTCAGGAGGACCCTGGCTACCTTGATCGGTTGATGAGTTGGAGGAACAACATCCTGGACCAGAAGCTGACATTGAGGTGTGCTCTTGAGAAGGAGGGCCTCCTCGAGGGGCTCCTGGCGAAGAGGCCCCAGCTGATGGTCGAGAGAGCGCGGGGGATGATCGCGAAGGCGGCGGAGGACAAGGACAAGCCCCTGCATCCGGAAATCGCCAAGTTGCGGGTCGCGCAGCACATCGAGGCCACCGAAATCTTGGCCATGCATTCCAGCGAGACTGCCGTGGCGGCGCTTGCAGCGCCCCCGCGGGACCAGCAGCAGAAGAGAAAACGAGCGTCGGCAGCCAGGTACCTTCTCCCGCACTGTTCCAGATGTGGGAGCGTGGAGCACAAGCGGCCGCAGTGCCCGAACAAATCGCTGCAGGGCGAGGTCGTGGAGGACTGCCGCAGCCAGGCCGTCGTGGATTACATGCGGAACCGCCGATCTGCTGCACTTGTCGCCAGGCTGAAGTACACGCAAATATCTATCAGAACGCGGGAGTACGAAGAGAGGGCGAAGAAGATGGCGAGGGCCCCGATTGACACGGACTTTGTGCAAATGGCACGGTGGTCCCCAGAAGAGTTCGTCCACTACCTCGTGTCCGCTGGCATTTTGCACGACTTGAAAGGGACGCCGTGCCCGCGAGGGAAGTGCCAATCCTCCAAGAAGTCGAGCTTCCTCGAGGGCGCCGAGAAGGAGCTGGGCCAATTGCGATGCAATGCTGAAAAGGGGCAGGATATTATCATTGAGACTGCGTGGCACGCGTGTGGCGTGTGCCGCGTGCACCAATCCGTGGCTCTGCACAATCCGTTGTTCTCTGGCCTGCTTGGGAAGGGCAGCAAGGGCGTGTCGATGTGCGTGATGGCGTGGTGGCTAGCCGCTGAAGGGGTCCCTGAGTCGGTGGCAGTGCGGCAGCTCAATATCCATGAGGGCGTCGTGCAAGGTTACTACGCCCGGGCTCGCGCGATCATGTCTGCGGCAGCGATTCGCATGCAAAGGGGTATCAGGGAGGCTGTCGCCGGCCCGGGGAGGAGGGGGGTGTCGGGCAGGGGTGACGGCGGGGGGGAGGAGGGGAGGACGGGGGGGACACAGCGGGGGAGGAGGAGGAGGAGGAGGAGGAGGAGGAGGCGGAGGAGGAGGAGGGAGGCGGAGGAGGTTCAGGAACAGCAGCAGCAGGAGGAGCAGCAGCAGCAGTCCTATCCTATCCTACCCCCTCCCTCCCCTTTCCCCCCCCTCCCCCTCCTTCTCCTCGTTCCTCCTCCTCCTCCTCCTCCTCCTCCTACTACTACTACTACTACTACGACTTACTACTACTACTACTACTACTACTACTACCACTACTACTACTACTACGACTACTACTACTAGTACTACTACTACAACTACTAGTGCTACTACTAGTACTACTGGTACTACTACTACTACTAAGACTTACTACTACTACCACGACTACTACTAGTACTGCAACTACTACTACTACTACTACTACTACTCCTACTACTACTACTACTACTACTACGACACTACTACTACTACTACTACTAACTGTACTACTACTTACGACTACTACTACTACTACTACTACTACTACTACTACTAGACTACTACTACTACTACTACTACTACTACTACTACTACTACTACTACTACTACCTACTACTACTACTACTACTACCTACTACTATACTACTACTACTACTACTACTACTACTACTACTACTACTACTATACTACTACTACTACTACTACTACTACTACTACTACTACTACTACTACTACTACTACTACTACTACTACTACTACTACTACTACTACTACTACTACTACTACTACTACTACTACTACTACTACTACTACTACTACTACTACTACTACTACTACTACTACTACTACTACTACTACTACTACTACTACTACTACTACTACTACTACTACTACTACTACTACTACTACTACTACTACTACTACTACTACTACTACTACTACTACTACTACTACTACTACTACTACTACTACTACTACTACTAACTACGAGTACTACTAGAACCCGACTGCCGGGGTACGAACCCCTCGCCGGGGCGAGGGGAGAGGGGCGACGCCTGCCGCCCCGCGCGGGCGCGGTGGATTCAGTGGGGCACCGGCTCTTCTCGAACGGTCGAGGTGGAGGTCGATGCCACGGTCATTTGCAAGTGGAACGCCGAGGAGAACGCCGAGCTGACGCATTCATATTACTGTTACATTGGCATTCGCCAGCGAGGTAGCACGTCCCACTTCGCCATGATGCCGCTGGGCGTGAGCAAATCTCAGAGGAGGGGCATTGGAGACACCGGCGGAGTCCCCTCCGGAGGGGGGGCCGGGCTCTCGTCGCCACGGCCGGGCGCAGTTCGGAAAACGTCCGTTCGTTGGCCCCGGGGAGGGTCCGGGAGGCGATTGTGCTCTGAGTCTGAGGTGCCAGTGTGTCAACTCCCCCTCCTCCGATAATCCACCGGCGAGGGCCGCGTGGCCCCCGAATCGTCCGAGGCGTATCACGCTTTCTGCAAGGAGATCCTTGGCGACCGCAAGTACAATCTGCTGCTCATGACAGACGGCGCGGGCTGCTACAAGTGCCGCTGCTCGGATTGCGTCGTGCGGTTCGAGGAGCACCACAGCGTGAACCACTCCAGGAAGCCGAAGGCCGAGTTTTCCCGGCCCATCCCCGCGGTCGTCGCCGACGTCGACACGGGCCACGCGAGGGGATCTATGGCTGGCGCGATGACGATCGACAAAGAATGGGATCTTCTCAAGGAGCCTTTGCCACGGAACCTGACTGCCCGCGCTGTGGAGGACGTCGATAGGACGGACGGCTACGTGAGGTCTCAGCAATGGCGGCGCTTGGTCGGCAACGACGATCGATGGTCGGCTTTTCTCGACGCAGCCAGGGAGTGGGCGAAATGCGCCGATTCCAGAGCGAAGCTCAAGCTGGGTCTGGCAACGGGGAAAGCGGGCAAGTTGGCTCTGGCAGCGGGGAAGCGCTTGGCCGCCGAAGCCAACCCAGCAGATCATCGGGAGGAGCGCGGGCCAAACCACCCCGAAGAACAGGGGCAAGAGCAGCGGGAGGAGCGCGCCCGAGAGCATTCCCAAGAGGCACCCGCACGCCATCGCGACGGGCATGCCGACGGCCGCGGCCCCGAGCATCGTGACGGGCAGGGTGGCCCCGCGCGCGGGCCCACCGCGCCGCCGGCGGCGGAGCCGTGGGTGCCCCCATGGCCGCTCCCGCCGCCGCCAGCCTGGCACGCGGGCGCCCTGTGGGGCGATCGGTATCTTGAGCGCCAGGGCAGCGCTCCCGTGTGCGGCCGGCATGCCTTGAACAATTTGTTGGGGGCGCCGCAGTTCTCGGACGGCGACTTGGAGGTGGCACGCGGCATTGTGGTGGCTCAGACAGATGATCCCCCCGACCTTCACGTGAGCGATGGAGGATGGTACTCCCACTCCGTGCTGGCGACTGTTCTGGATTCCGTCGTCCCTCCGTCGTGGCGAATGTTGTTGCGGCCTCTCTTGCCGTCTTCGTGGCAGGCATTCACGAGCAGCGACGACATGTTGGGGGCGCTGGTGAACCATAACAACGTCCATTGGTCGGCTATCCAGGTGCCTTCGGCGAATCCCGCCGCCGTGCCGGCGCAATGCTGGGTATGATGGGCCTACTCGTCCGCATGTGTGGGCGTACGAGGACGAGTGGGAGGAGGAGGAGGAGGAGGAGGAGGAGGAGGAGGGGGAGGAGGAGAAGGAGGAGGAGGAGGACGAGGACGAGGAGGAGGAGGAGGAGGAGGAGGAGGAGGAGGAGGAGGAGGAGGAGGAGGAGGAGGAGGAGGAGGAGGAGGAGGAGGAGGAGGAGGAGGAGGAGGAGGGGAGGAGGAGGAGAGGGGGAGGTCGAGTGGGGGTTTTCCGCCTCAACATTTCTGGAGGCCTGGTGGCGGATTCTCAAGCACAACGACCGCGTGTGGCACGTAGACAGCCTCCGTGAACCCGCCATTCTAGACGAGGCAGCCGTCGGCAGGGCGCTCCGGAGGCATCCGATGGCGTTTCCCATCGTGACCAATTCATACCAGGAGTGAACGCACCTTTTGTGATCATACTTTCGGTGTCGTTGCGTGCACGACGAGCGCGCGGCGGTTTTCGAGCCATTCTCTCTGGTGCCCCTTTTCGGCTACATTGGCCTGGTGACTCGCCGTTGGAGCGAACAGTGCGTGTCGGAGACTTGGAATGTAGCGCTCTGTGTCTGCTGTTGCGTCGGATATTCGCCCGCGCTACAGTTATTGCCCGTGGTTGCTCGCGCGGGTTTTCCGCCGGCGTCGTCGCTTCCGCCGCCGTCGTCGTCGCCGCCGCCGCGCCCCCGCCGCCGCCGCCCCCCACCGTCGGGCGCGGCAGACCCCCGAGGAGGCGCGGCTCCTTTCCGCGCGCCGCACGCGTCTTGCGGGAGAGAGAGCGGCGACGAGGCCCGCGAGCGACGCCGCCCTCCCAGCAGGCGCAGCCGACGCCACCCCCAGCCCCTGCGAAGGAAACCAAGGGGCAGCAGTTACAGGGAGCGGGGTACGGTGAGACCCCCGCCTGCTGCCCCAACACCCGAAGACCCGTGGCGGCCCCGGAGGCCCCCCGTGGCCCCCGGAGGCCCCAGGAGGCCCCAGGAAACCTCGGGAGGACCCTCCAGGCCCCCGCAGGCCCACGTTGGTTCGAAGATGCGCCCGCGGCGGCGGAGGACGGGAGAGGGGGACAGGGGGAGGACAGAGGAGGAGAGAGGAGGAGAGAGGAGGAGAGGAGGAGAGGAGGAAAGAGGAGGAGAGGAGGAGGAGAAGGAGGAGGCGAGGAGAGGAGGAGAGAGGAGAGGAGAGGAGGAGGAGAGGAGGAGAGGAGGAGAGGAGGAGAGGAGAGGAGGAGAGGAGGAGGTTGCCATTTTGGCTTGATGCAGAAACGCGCCGTATTGCGCGAATGGCTCGGGTGTAGTTGCCCGTCGCGCTGGTAGCGGAGCTCTGTTGCCCCCGCCAAACTTGTTGCATTGTTGGTGGTAGCGGTGCCCGTCGCGCTGGTAGCGGAGCTGGTAGTCGTAGCGGTGGGCTGGTGCCCGTCGCGTTGGTAGCGGGGCTCTGGTGCCCGCGCCGCGCACGCTGGTGCAACATCGCAAGCAATGCGCGGACATGCGCACGCTTCGCAATCGCGTGCGTCCACACACGTAGTAGTAGTAGTCGGAGTAGAAGGAGTAGAGTAGTAGTAGTAGTAGTAGTAGTAGTAGTAGTAGTAGTAGTAGTAGTAGTAGTAGTAGTAGTAGTAGTAGTAGTAGTATAGTAGTAGTAGTAGTAGTAGTAGTAGTAGTAGTAGTAGTAGTAGTAGTAGTAGTAGTAGTAGTAGTCGTAGTAGTAGTAGTAGTAGTAGTAGTAGTAGTAGTAGTAGTAGTAGTAGTAGTAGTGCTGATGGTGATGCGTAGTAGTAGTAGTAGTAGTAGTAGTAGTAGTAGTAGTAGTAGTAGTAGTAGTAGTCGTAGTAGCAGTAGTAGCAGTAGTAATAGTAGTAGTCGTAGTAGTAGTAGTAGTAGTAGTAGTAGTAGTAGTAGTAGTAGTAGTAGTAGTAGTAGTAGTAGTAGTAGTAGTAGTAGTAGTAGTAGTAGTAGTAGTAGTAGTAGTAGTAGTAGTAGTAGTAGTAGTAGTAGTAGTAGTAGTAGTAGTAGTAGTAGTAGTAGTAGTAGTAGTAGTAGTAGTAGTAGTAGTAGTAGTAGTAGTAGTAGTAGTAGTAGTAGTAGTAGTAGTAGTAGTAGTAGTCGTAGTAGTAGTAGTAGTAGTAGTAGTAGTAGTAGTAGTAGTAGTAACCGTAGTAGTAGTAGCCCTAATGGAGCTCCTAATCGAGCTCCTAACAGAGCTCGTAGTAGAGCTCCTAGTAGAGCTCGTGGTAGAGCCCCTAGTAGAGCTCGCAGTAGAGATTTTGGCAGACCTCGCTCACACTAGAGCTCCTAATAGAGCACGTAGTAGAGCTCATAGTAGACCTCCCAATCGAGCTACCAGTAGAGCTCCTGGTAGAGCTCGCAGATTAACTCCTCATGGAGCTCGTAGTAGAGCTCGTAGTAGAGCTCCTAAGCGAGCTCCTGGTAGAGCTCCTAACAGGGCTCTTAACAGAGCTCCAAACGGAGCTCCTAATAGAGCTCGTAGTAGAGCTCGTGGTAGAGCTCGTAGTAGAGCTCGTGGTAGAGCTCGTGGTAGAACTCGAAGTAGAGCTCCTCGTAGGGCTCGTAGTAGATCTCGTAGTAGAGCTCGTAGTAGGGCTCGTAGTAGAGCTCTTAATAGAGCTCGTATTAGAGCTCGTGGTAGAGCTCGTATTAGAGCTCGTAGTAGAGCTCCTAATAGAGCTCGTAGTAGAGCTCGTAGTAGAGCTCCTAACAGAGCTCCTAATAGAGCTCCTAGCAGAGCTCCTCATAGAGCTCATAGAGCTCCTCTATGGGATTCCTAAGGGATCCTATAGGATTCCGAAGGGATCCCACAGGGTTCCTAAGGAATCCTATAGGATTCCTAAGGGATCCTATAGGATTCCTAAGGGATCCCATCGGATTCCTAAGGGATCCCATAGGATTCCTAAGGGATCCCATAGGATTCCTAAGGGATCCTATAAGATTCCTATAGGATTCCTAAGGGATCCCATAGGATTCCTATAGGATTCCTAAGGGATCCAATAGGATTCCTAAGGGATTCCTCAGGGATCCCATAGGATCCTCTAGGGTTCTTAATGAATCCTATAGTATTCCTAAGGGATCCCATAGGATTCCTAAGGGATCCCATCGGATCCTTAAGGGATCCCACAGGATTCCTAAGGGATCCCATAGGATTCCTAAGGGATCCTATAGGATTCCTAAGGGATCCCATAGGATTCCTAAGGGATCCCATAGGATTCCTAAGGGATCCTATAGGATTCCTAAGGGATCCCATAGGATTCCTAAGGGATCCTATAGGATTCCTAAGGGATGCCATAGGATTCCTAAGGGATATAGGATTCCTAAGGGATCCCATAGGATTCCTAAGGGATCCCATAGGATTCCTAAGGGATCCTATAGAATTCCTAAGGGATCCCATAGGATTCCTAAGGGATCCTATAGGATTCCTATAGGATTCCTAAGGAATCCTATAGTATTCCTAAGGGATCTTATAGGATCCTATAGGGTCCTATAGGATCCTATAGGGTCCTATAGGATTTCTAGAGGATCCTATAGGATTTCATAGATTTCCTATAGGATCCTATAGGATTTCTATAGGATCCTATAGGATTTCCTATGGGATTTCATAGGATTTCTAGAGGATCCTATAGATCCTATAGGATCTTATAGGATCCTAGCAGAGCTCCTCATAGAGCTCATAGAGCTCCTCTATGGGATTCCTAAGGGATCCTATAGGATTCCGAAGGGATCCCACAGGGTTCCTAAGGAATCCTATAGGATTCCTAAGGGATCCTATAGGATTCCTAAGGGATTCCATAGGATTCCTAAGGGATCCCACAGGGTTCCTAAGGAATCCTATAGGATTCCTAAGGGATCCTCTAGGATTCCTAAGGGATCCCATAGGATTCCTAAGGGATCCTATAGGATTCCTATAGGATTCCTCAGGAATCCCATAGGATTCCTAAGGAATCCCATAGGATTCCTAAGGGATCCTATAGGATTCCTATAGGATTCCTAAGGAATCCCATAGGATTCCTAAGGAATCCCATAGGATTCCTAAGGGATCCTATAGGATTCCTATAGGATTCCTAAGGAATCCCATAGGATTCCAAAGGGATCCTATAGGATTCCTATAGGATTCCTAAGGAATCCTATAGTATTCCTAAGGGATCCTATAGGATTTCCTATAGGATCCTATAGGATTTCTCGAGGATCCTATAGGATTCCTCAAGAGCTCGCTGCACCGGTGCGCACACGCGTCGTGCTGTCAGAATCCGCATGGAGGACGTAGCGTTGAGAGCTTGGTCTGTGGAGGTAAGCTTTCGGGGTTGCTGGGGGTTGCTGGGGTTGCTGGGGTTGCTGGGGTTGCTGGGGTTGCTGGGGTTGCTGGGGTCCCGCGGTTGCCCCCGGGCCGGTCAAGTCGGCCTTGTCCCTAGGGGAGGAGGCGCTGTGGAGCTCCCCACTGGACGGGCCGGTCAACTGCGCCTCGTTCTTGTTGTTGAATATTATTACTTCTAAAGAAATATTATTGTTGAGACCCCTGGTGCGCGACCCCCCTCCAAAACCTAGGCCGCAGCCTCATTTCCTTCATTTTCTAGCGAAAGCTTCAGAAAAGTGGATTGTGTCCGGATCCGGTTGTTTTGTTGTAATCCGTTTTCCCTTGCAAAAAACACTATAAAATGAAAATTCTTGTTCTTACTTGATCAAATTGCAAGAATCCCTTGCAAAAAATAAGGTAAAGTGGACATTCGTGCGCGCAAGACGAAATCCTTCCAAAACCTTAGGTTTCGTAGCGATTTTAACATAAAAACATCAAAAACCCAATGGTTTTTTAAGAAAAAATTGTCAAAATGTCCTTCCGCGCGCGCTGTCCGAATCCCACAAAACCAATGGTTTTTCAACATTTATGTTACATGAGCTCGCGCGAGCTACTTTTTCTTGTTCTAACATAATCAAATTTCAATAATCCCTGGCGCAAGACGAAATCCTTCCAGAACCTTAGGTTTCGTAAGCGATTTCAACATAAAAACATCAAAAACCCAATGGTTTTTTAAAAAAAATGTCCAAAATTTCATCCCGCGCGCGCTGTCCGACTCCCACAAAACCAATGGTTTTTCAACATTTATGTTACATGAGCTCGCGCGAGCTACTTTTTCTTGTTCTAACATAATCAAATTTCAATACTCCCTTGCAAAAAAAAGTAAAGTGGACATTCGCGCGCGCAAGACCAACAAAAAACACGACGATCTCAGGAACTTGCCCCAAAAATGTGACCAACTCCGCTCTCTCTGTCTCTCTCTCTGTCTGCTCTCTGTCTCTCTCTCTGTCTGTCTGTGTCATGTATTGTATGTCACAATTGCAGGATGCTGGGCACACGCGCGCCCCGAATAAGTGACCAAGTTCTGTGGGTGTGTACCCCACGCCAGTGTAGTAGCCACGGTCGTCCGCACGCCACGAAGTGAAGTGTCCCAACGTCATAGGGCGGGAAGCTGGGTTTGGGTGGTCGCGAAGAGTCGTTTGGATATTTGGTAGAGCTTGAACTGCCCCCCCACGAAGTGGGGGTATTGTCTCGCGTCGCATGAAAACCCTGGCACTGGTGAGAACACTGAGCGTTCGGGTAAAATGATTGTTGTTGTTGTTGTTGTTGTTGTTGTTGTTGTCGTCCCACCCGCGACCCACCCGCGACCCACCTCGCGATCCACCTCGCGACCCACCCCGCGACCCACCCCGCGACCCACCCCGCGACCCACCCCGCGACCCACCCCGCGACCCACCCGCGACCCACCCCGCGACCCACCTTCGACCTACCTGCGACCCACCTTCGACCCACCCCGCGACCCACCCGCGACCCACCCCGCGGCCCATCCGCGACCCATTCGCGACCCACCCACGACCCACCCCGCGACCCACCCGCGACCCACCCCGCGACCCACCCTCAAGGGAGGAGAAACCACCCGTATCCGACAATTGACGTTTACTAAACGGCCCTGGGCGTTTACTAAACAGCCCTGCCCTGTTCGACTCATTCCTTGTGTGCGTTTACTAAACCGCTTCGCTTGTCGGGGTGATTATTCTTCACGCTTCGCGTACCCCTACCAGCCCATTCAGAAGCCCTGCCCACGAGAGCTGACGGGAAAAGGGACGAAGGGACACATCTAGGGAAACAAAGCGAGCAACCAGGATAAGCCGAGAGATCTCTGGGAGCAAGGGGGTGGCCTTGGAAGGCTTCTTCGGGCCATCCCTGGGGGCCGCCTGGGGGCGAGGGGAACAGGAGGAGGAGGAGGAGGAGGAGGAGGAGGAGGAGGAGGAGGAGGAGGAGGAGGAGGAGGAGGAGGAGGAGGTGGAGGGATCCAAAGAGTGTGATCCCTGGTGCTGCTGCTGGTGGTGGTGCTGCAGATGTCGTTGCTGCCTCTGCTGGCGCTGCGGCTGGTGGCCTGGAAGGCCTGTTAGGGCCATCCAGGAGAGCATCGATCAACAGATGGGGGGTCTTCAATTTCGGCCCCCTCCCAGGAGCCCTCAAAATCGCCTCTTGGAGCTCTCCTGGGGCTCCTTGGGAGGGTATTGGAGCTCTCTCGGGGCTCTTTTAGGGGTCTTGGGGCCCTCTGGGGGCCCTCTTGGGGCTCCCTTGGGGCCCTCTTGGGAGCCCTGGAAGGCCTCTTGGGGCCATCTTAAAGGCCATTGATCAAATGAGGAGATGGTATGACGTTCAGCCCCCTCCAAAGAGGCCAAACTGGGGCCAACACCGGAGTAAAACCAATGATTTTGGCGCCCAGAGGGCTGGTGGGATAACGTTCCCCCCCCCCACAGAGGCCAGCATGGGGCCAACACCGTAGTTAAACCAATGACTTTGGCGCCCATAGGGCTGGTGGGACATTTTTCGCCCCCCCCGCCCGCCCCCCCCCAAAGAGGCCAACATGGGGCCACCACCGTAGTAAAACTAATGATTTTGGCTTCCTCGCCGAGGCCGTTTTGGACGCCCTGGCATCTCGCGGACCTCCCCAAAAAAGTCCAGGGGTGGGGTAAGGGGATGGGTAAGCCCCTCCCTGCAGGGGAAGAGGGTTTTCTTGGAAGCGGGAAGAGGAATCTCGTTAGACCACCTGCGCCCAGAGGGCTGGTGGGATTATAGGGTGGATTTTCTGCCTTCTACACCCGCGACCCATCTGCGACCCAACAGCGACCCACTCGCGACCCACCCGCGACCCACCCGTGACCCGTTTGCGACCCACCCGCGACCCACCCGCGACCTACCCACATTGGTTTAACTAAGCAATCGGCGCCTGCGGCGGGCTCGTTGTATAATTTGTGAAACTTTGACGCCTGCGGCGGGCTTCTCCAGAATCTCGCAAACTGCTGACGTCCCCATCGCCCCCCCCTCGCTCTTATCCGCATCTGCGGGGTGCTACGTATTGTTTGTTTGTTTGCTAATTAGTTAGTTTGTGTGTTTTGTTTGTTTGTTTGTTTGTTTGTTTGTTTGTTTGTTTGTTAGTTTTTCTTCTTCGCAGTTGCGGACTGTGCGTATGATGCTCGTAGGTTTGCGACCATGATATGTGTTGTTCGCCGATGCGAACAGCGAGATCAGTTGTTGGATGAACCATTTCTGTAGTCGATCTCCTACTCGCAAGGTGATCCCAGGTCTTCCAGAAAGTCCGCAACAGCGTGCAGAGCAGCCCTCGCGAGGCCCAGAGGACCAAACGGGGGCCCCAAGTTGGCGCGAAAAGTTTACCAATCTGAGACATGTCCCGATCCCTGTGATGGGCATCGCCTCATCTCGATGCCGATCTTGAGGGTTGTCTCCGCTTCTGAGGGCGTGTCCCCAAGATTGTCGTCTCCTTCTGGCTGGTAAGTCTCCTCCTCCTCCTCCTCCTCCTCCTCCTCCTCCTCCTCCTCCTCCTCCTCATCATCATCATCATCATCATCATCATCATCATCATCATCATTATCATCGTCGTCATCCCCCTCCTCCTCCTCCTCCTCCTCCTCCTCCTCCTCCTCCTCCTCCTCCTCCCCCTCCTCCCCAGGGGCGGGGGTGCGCTCGAGGCTGGTCGAAGGCGCGGGGTGCACCCTGGGCCGCCCGGGCCCCCTGGCAGCGCCCGACCCTCCCCTGGGGGACCCACTGGCGCCGTTCGGCGCACGGGGCGCGGTGCACGCCGCGGCATTCTCCCCGCGCCGCTCTCGAGGCCGGGGAAGCCCCTCCGGCAGGAGGGCCCACGGCTTCGGGCAGGTCGGGCCGGACGAACGGGGGGGATAGGGAAAGGTGGGGTTACAAAATCTGCGGCGTGCAGCTGGTTTCGGCCCCGCCGCCGGGCCCCTTCCTCGATACGTGGGCGCCTCTGGCGCCGGGAGGCGCCGGGAGAATCAGCTGCGCGAGCTGATTCTCCCCCCCCCCTTTGCTATCCCCCCCTTTCGCCCGACCCGAGCAGGCCGCCGGCGACGGCCGAAGAAGGAGAAGAAGAAGCGCCACCAACATGCCCAGTGGTCGTTGAGAGTGGGCGATCGTTTTCGCATTCGTTGTCTTGCCGATCGGCGCGGGCCCTCGCACCCCCCCTCTCCCCCACCCCCTCTGGAGAAGATCTTGGCAGTTTTTTTAGCCCCTCATGGGACGCACTGTCGCAAACAGTCGCACTAAGCAGAGGTCCAGAGCCAGACCCCCCTCCTCCCCCCATCTTCGCTCAACGTCGAAACGCCGAATCAGATAACGCTCACCAGGTTATTTTGGGAGTTCCAGATTCCAATCTACTTTAAGCGCCTTCTTGCTTCGATGATCGAGTGGCTTCACCTTTTCCGTCCTCTTTCGGGGGCGGACGGACACCCAATATACTTTCAACGCCTTCCTACCTCATCTTTCTGCCTACTTCTTCCGACCGATGGGTAAACTTCTTAGCGCTCCGCGCGGGTTTTTCTCTTGGACAGGCGCTGGCCCCCCCCCCCAGCGGCGCCTCCGGCCGCCCTCCCCTGGCGCAGATCCCATATCATAATCCGCGCGGAGCGCCAAAAGTTTAGATGCTTGTGCCGTTGCTTCTTCTCGGCTAGGGGGCCACGTGCGAACCCTACCCCTACCCCCCACCATTTCTGAGGGGGAGGGTGGGGTTCACTTCGCTCGGGAGCTCCCGAACGAAGTGAACCCCACCCTCCTCCTCAGAAATCGCAGGGGGCAGGGTTCGCACGTGGCCCCCTATCGGCGCTCTTCCTCCTCGGCCGAAGGGCCGAGGGGAACCTCGACGAGGCGTAAGAGTGACCTGTCGCCTCGAGGGACCCTTGGTGCGGGCCCCGTTGGGGCCCCCGGATGGCCGAGCGCGATGCGGCAGCAGCCTCTCGCGCGCTCGTGTGCTCGTCCCCCCGCGGCCCCCGAGAAACAGCGCACTGGAGTCAGGAGGGGAAAAACACACACAGACACAATGAACCGTCGATCCCCAAGAAGATATAGGGAAATGTGGGAAGTGGGCGGGAAGGCACAAACCCAGAAAGTATGGGAAAATATGGGGAATCGTTTTATTTGTGTGTATTTAGTTGTGTGCCCTTGGGCCCCTGGATGGAGGCCACTCTTGCCCAAGGTCGCTCTTGCGTGCAGTCGTGCGCCGCTCCCCGGGCGCCCTCGCGCGAGCCGCCGCGGGGCCCGGCCCCTCGCGGGGCGCGTCTGCCGCACAGGGCGCGAGGGCCGCCGAGCGGGCGCGCGCGGGGGCCCGAAGGGGGGCGGGCCGCGGAGCCGCCGGGCCGTCGCGCGCGGCTCCTCCTCGGGCGCCGTCGTCGGCGTCGACGTTGGCGACGTCGTTGGCGACAACGTCGTCGTCGGCATCGGCATCGTCGTCGTCGTCGGCGTCGTCGGCGTCGGTGTCGGCGTCGGCGTCGTCGTCGGCGTCGTCGTCGTCGCGTAAGCGTCGGTGTCGGCGGCCGGACGAACGGGGGGGATAGGGAAAGGTGGGGTTACAAAATCTGCGGCGTGCAGCCGGTTTCGGCCCCGCCGCCGGGCCCCTTCCTCGATATACGTGGGCGCCTCCCGGCGCCAGGAGGCGCCAGGGAAATCGGCTATGCGTGAGCTGATGCTCAAGCCCCCTCCTTTGCTATCCCCCCCTTCCGCCCGGCCCGATCCTCGGGGCCGCGGGTGCCGTGCGTCAGCGGCGAGCGAGGGAGGGAAATGAGGAGGAGAAGGCCTTCCAAACAAAAACAAGAAAAAGAGACAGCAAGCAAGAAAAAAGGAGGAGGCCTTCTCGGAAGGCGGCGGGACTCCTCGGAAGCCCTGGCGCCTCCCGAGAAGCTTGTGCTCTTGTCTTCGGGGAAGGCTCGCAAAAAGCTTCTCGGGCAGGCCGGGGAAGGCTTCCTAAACCTCCTGGGAAGGCCCAGCGCTGCTGTCAGGGAGAAGGCTGTCCTACCTTCACCCAGCCCCCCGCCGCCTCGACTTTTCCTGCCCTCCCCCCTCCTCCTCCTCCTCCTCCTCTCTTCTCTTCTCTTCTCTTCTCTCCTTTCCTCTCCTCTCCTCTCCTCTCCTCTCCTCTCCTCTCCCATCCTCTCCTCCTCCTCTCTTCTCTTCTCTTCTCTCTTCTCTTCTCTTCTCTTCTCTTCTCTTCTCTTCTCTTCTCTTCTCTTCTCTTCTCTTCTCTTCTCTTCTCTTCTCTTCTCTCTTCTCTTCTCTTCTCTTCTCTTCTCTTCTCTTCTCTTCTCTTCTCTTCTCTTCTCTTCTCTTCTCTTCTCTTCTCTTCTCTTCTCTTCTCTTCTCTTCTCTTCTCTTCTCTTCTCTTCTCTTCTCTTCTCTTCTCTTCTCTTCTCTTCTCTTCTCGTCTCTTCTCTTCTCTTCTCTTCTCTTCTCTTCTCTTCTCTTCTTCTCTTCTCTTCTCGTCTCGTCTTCTCTTCTCTTCTCTTCTCTTCTCTTCTCTTCTCTTCTCTTCTCTTCTCTTCTCTTCTCTTCTCTTCTCTTCTCTTCTCTTCTCTTCTCTTCTCTTCTCTTCTCTTTCTTCTTCTCTCTCTCTTCTCTTCTCTTCTCTTCTCTTCTCTTCTCTTCTCTTCTCTTCTCTTCTCTTCTCTTCTCTTCTCTTCTCTTCTCATCTCTTCTCTTCTCTTCTCTTCTCTTCTCTTCTCTTCTCGTCTCTTCGTCTTCTCTCTTCTTCTCTCTCTTCTCTTCTCTTCTCGTCTCTTCTCTTCTCTTCTTCTTCTTCTTCTTCTATTTTTCTTCTTCTTCTTCTTCTTCTCCTCCTCCTCCTCCTCCTCCTCTCCTCCTCCTCCCCTCCGCCTCCTCTCCTCCTCCGCCTCCTCCTCCTCCTCCTCCTCCTCCCCCTCCTCCCCCTTCTCCTCCTCCCCCTCCTCCTCCTCCCCCCCCCCCCTCCCTCCTTCTCCTCCTCCTCCTCCTCCTCCTCCTCCTCCGTCTCCTCCTCCTCCTCCCCCCTCACTCGCCGCTCGGATGGGCTTGGACTTCCCTGACCTTCCAGGAGGGTTAGAAAATAGCACCAGGACGTCGACGTCCTAATTCCCGTCGAGATTTGAGGCAGTCCAGATAGATCTGTAGGTCTGGAGTGCGTTATTTGCTAGCGCTCTAGAAGGTCAGGGTTGGGGCCCCCCAGAGCTCTCGCAGCATATGCGGGGGAGACATGGCGACCCCAACCCCTGACTTTGGGAGGTTTCTGACTGCACCAGGTCGGAAACTGGAACAGATACATTACCAGTGGCGGGCTGTTTTTCAATCCCAGGATTCCGTGAGGGTCGAGGACGACGTCGGGGTGGTGTGGTGCATACGTTTTGTCCCATTTCCCGGGGGGGGGGGGGAACATCAAAACATGCATACACCAGGACACCAGGATCCGCTTTCCTGTGCGCATTTCAGTGCGGGGCCGGAAAAAAGCGTTGGTGTGTAGAGCTCGTTTCCCTATCAGGGATTTGAGCACCACCGTTAAGTCGGGCCTGTCCCCTTCAGGGGGATTTTCGACGAAAATACACCCAACATAATCAAATAATAGTCCAAAAATAGTCTGGGGTCTATTTTTTGAGTATTTGTTTGACCTTCTTGGGGCATTTTTGGGGTATTTTTTTAGATTTTCGTCGAACATCCCCCTGTAGGGGGACACGCCCGACTTAGCACCACCGTCCTCCCCGCCCCGCCTCCCGCCGCCTCCTCTGCTCGCCCGCCCGGGCGGCGCGGCCCCTCTCTCGCGGGCCGCGGCGCGCCCGCCTCGGCGGGAGGGCTCTCCCGGGCCTCTCGGAGGGGGATCTGGGCAGCGGGCCTGTCCTTCTGCAGGAGGAATAGTTTAAGACAAATCTTGTTCATGCGTTCGAGGGTCGTCGGTGCTATTGTCGTGGAGTAGCTGGGGGTCAAGTTCTTGCTTCGTTCCTGCCTGTGCGGGAACACATCCTCACCATCAGTGGGACGCAGGGGTGGGAAGGACGGCGCTGAACGTGTTCTAAAATGTGGCCTATTGGATACCAATAGTTTTGGCATCAGCCCCAGCGACCCTGCTAAAACAAGCAGCTACGAGGCTAGCAAGTGCTCATTCTCTGCAGCCAGGCCGCCAATTTGGGAATCTAGTAAAGCAATGCCCTCCCTTCATCCTCCCATGTAAGCCTGTGGAAGTCGATTCATGGAGATGAAGCATGTTGCCAAATACTTTCCAGGCGTCTAAGACATGTTTCGAACATGTTTCAAGTATATAAAAACACGGTTGACACATTTTTAGAACATGTTTTACACATCTTAAACACATGTTTAATTCAATGATCGGATTGCTAGAGTGTCGATTATCATGGCATCCACAAATGTAAGCATTCATTTTAGGGACTGTTTCCCTGTACGTTCGTAAAGTCGCAACAACTGTAGCGGTACGGTGGCTACCAAAACAAGGGCGATCGCGTCGAAGGTATTGAGTCAACGCGTGGGGAAAAGGATCCGATTCTCCGCCACACTGCGGGGCTCTGGGAAGCGACACGCCAGTTACAGTCAACCCGCGTACTAAGGATGGGCAACCTTCTCAAGTGGACCCTTGCATCCTTGCCTCCTCGGTCCATCCTTGGCCGCTTTCGTTGGCCGCGTCCCGCTCGCAAAGTGTCGGCATGGCCTTCAAGGCCCTTGTATCCCTACCGCGCGTCCAAACTATACGGGTTGATTGTATGATTAGGTGGAATGGGACCTAGCCGCTATGTTGAGCCTGTGTTCCCAGGCTTCGGGCCCGATGCTGCACCTCCTATACCCCCCTGGCGCCGCCAATGAAAACACGGGCTTCGCCGGGAAGCCCATGTTATTCTCTGCCTCTCTTGTAGGGAGGTCGCGCTGAAAAGAGAAGCCAATCTGATCGATGTAGATCTCCACGCTGGCCTCGCAGCCTGCTGTTTGGCTCAAGTCGTGACGGTCCTTCGAAGTTGGCGGGGCTCAGAGGAGAACCCACTAGGGTAACAAATCGCCATGTGGGCGACGAAAGAAAACGGGGTCGTCTTCGCCGACATTGGCGCGTAAGCTGCCCGCGTAAGGTCAAGCGAAAGCGCCCTCGTCTGCACTGTAGCTTGCCGCGCTGTCGGCCCGCGTAAGCCACCGCGCAAGTTGGCCATGCCACCTCGCGTCAGACCCCTGTTTGATCGTCGCTCATGTGTTTGTGGTTCTGGCGCTACGCAAGTTTATCCCATGCCTGGGCATGAGCACCCACGGTGAGATTTAGCAGCAGTGTTGTCCGAGTGTCATTGCCCAATTCGTGCTTGTATTGAAGAGGCCCTTGCGGACACAGGAGGAGTAGGCGAAAGTACGGGGCCGAATTTTGTACAGGGAAGCTGGGAAAAGTGGCCAGGGCCAGCCCTGTCCCTCTTTCCAGACCTGGTCGGCTTCCTCTCGTTTTTCCTGCCCTGGCGACCAGGTCCGGGCTGTTCCGGGTCTGTTCCAGCCCCTGCCAGCCACTCCCATTGTCCTTGAATTTCCAACATCCGCTGTCTCAGGCTTCTTCGGATGCAACTTCTGGGAGGTCAAATTCTGACTTTGCCGTAGTCCGACCTCAGGTTTAGTCCGGCCCGTTCCTGTTTCATCCGGTTCAATTCCGCTTCATCTGGCCTAGTCCCTTCTAGTCCGAGGCTCAATCTGGCGTAACAGCCCCCCAGTGGGGCTTAATCCTTTTTCGTCCTTCCGACGAAGACCTCTCAGTAGTTGCCTCCTACGGCTTCTCTTTACCAGCCTGGAACATATCCCGATCCCTATGCTGGGCACCTCCTCATCACGATGCCAATCTTAGGGATTCCCTTAGTTTTTGAGGGCGCATCCCTGAGATTATCATCGCCCTTTGGCGCGTCAATCTTAGGGATAGGGATACGTTCGAGGCTGGTAATCTCAGTAGTTGCCTCCTACGGCTTCTCTGTGGTTCTGGGGCTTTCCTTTGGCGAAGGCGGCCGGGCCGAGCGCTCGGTGGGCGGCCAGGCTCTCGCTCTGGTGGTCCCGGGTTCCCAGGGGTGCTGTTGTCGAGTTCGGTGGTCGGCCTGGGTCCCGGCACGGGAGAGGGCGGAGGTTGGGGGCAGGGAGTGCACGCCAGCTAGTAATTAGATCACCACTGACCAAACCACCCCAACCCAACCCGAAGGCTTCACTTTGCCCTCCATTTCCAGTTCGGGGGGGGTCGGGGAACACTGAAAGAACACATGGAGCCTGTACCCCCCCCCAACCCGAAATTCGGGTCAAATTCGGGTCTTCGGGTTGGGTTGGGGTTGTCTGGTAGGTAGTCAGTAGAGAGCAGACTCTGTGAGAGGGAGTGGGGAGTTGAGGCAGAGCAAGGGGGGCTACGAGAGGGTCGGTGAAATGCGCAGGACAGAGAGAGAGAGAGAGAGGGTCAGAGACACAAGGAGGAAGTCTATCACATATATATATATATACATATGTATATGTATACACACATGTGTCGATACATAGAGGCATCATGTGCGACATTAGTAGAACTCAGATATGAGATAGAAGGGGGTAGCGAATACATTTCAGACATTGGAGATCTAGAGAGAGAGAGAGAGAGAGAGAAAGAGAGAGAGAGAGAGAAAGAGAGATCGAGTTGAAGAGAGAGAGAGAGAGAGATCGCGCGCTCACACACATGTATGTATGTATGTATGTCTGTCTGTCTGTCTGTCTGTCTGTCTGTCTGTATGTATGTACGCACGTACGTACGTACGTACCTATGTATGTATGTATGTATGTCTGTCTGTCTGTCTGTCTGTCTGTCTGTCTGTCTGTCTGTATGTATGTTTGTATGTATGTATGTATGTATGTATGTATGTATGTATGTATGTGTGTGTGTGTGTGGATTTATGTATGTATGCATGCATGCATGCATGCATGTATGTATGTATGTATATATGTATGTATGTATGTATGTAGGTAGGCATGCATGTATGCCTGTCTGTCTGTCTGCCTGTCTGTATGTCTGTATGTATGTATGTATGTTTGTATGTATGTATAGATATGTATGTATCATGTATGTATGTATGCATGCATGCATGCATGCATGCATGTATACATGTATATATGTATGTATGTATGTATGTATGTATGTATGTATGTATGTATGTATGTATGTATGTATGTATGTATGTACATTCACTGGTATGATATATTTATATACATGTATACAGAATACCACATTACACACACCGGATGTTGGGGGGCGAGATCGCAGTGGAACGGAGCGACCCCCCCACTTGAAAATCGGTTTCGGTTTCGTGTTCGTGTCGTGCGTGCGGGCGAGGCGAAACTGCGTGGGCGCGCGAGAGGAATGAACCCACTGTCGCTAGGGCGATTCGGATGCAGTAGACCGCCCCTCCGCCCCTGGTGGGCGCGCGGTGGCTGGGGGTGTCCCGCCGTGGTGTCCTGTGGTGTCCCGTTGGTGTTCCGTCGGCGGTGGGCGGACGGTGGCCAGGGGTGTCCCGCCTTGGTTCCGATAGTGAAGTCGATGATAATGAGCTCGCTGGAAAAAGATGGATAGTGAGATCGAAAGTGAGATCGACAGTGAGGTTGATTGTGACATTGGTCGTGAGATCGATAGTGGAATCGATAGCGAGATCGATAGAGGAATCGATAGCGAGATCTATAGTGAGATCGATCGTGAGATCGATAGTGAGATCTGTAGTGAGATCGATCGAGTGTAATCGATCCTGTGGGGTCGATCGTAGGATCGATCGAATGAGATCGAAAGCGGGGACGATAGCGACACTACATCGTAGCGCAATATCGTCATCACGCGTCGTCGCTAACTCGAGGGCGCGCCACCAGCATCGTCATCATCATACCCAACCTATTTGCCAGCAGTTGGTTCTTTCTCCCCAACCCCCAGCCTCCTTATCACCCGACGGGTGGTCGTATTGGTATATTTCTCCCCCGACACCTCAACCTCCTTATCACCCGAAGGGTGGTCGTATAGGTGTGTGTGTGTATACGTAGCACCCCGCAGATGCGGACAAGAGTGAGTGGGCGGTGGGGACGTCGGCAGTTTGCGAGCCTCTGGAGAAGCCCGCCGCAGGCGCCACAGTTTCACAAATTGTACAAAGAGCCTGCCGCAGGCGCCGATTTTTTTCGTTGAGCCAATGTGGGTAGGTCGCGGGTGGGTCGCGGGTGGGTCGCAGGTGGGTCGCTGTTGGGTCGCGGGTGGGTCGCGGGTGTAGAGTGCGGAAAATCCAACCCATCCGAATCACCCCGACAAGCGACGCACGCAAGGAATACATCGAAAAGGGCAGGGTTGTTTAGTAAACGCCCAAGGCCGTTTAGTAAACGTCAATTGTCCGGTCCGGTTGGTTTCTCCTCCCTTGAGGGTGGGTCGCGGGGTGGGTCGCGGGTGGGTCGCGGGTGGGTCGCGGGTGGGTCGCGGGGTGGGTCGCGGGTGGGTCGCGGGGTGGGTCGCGGGTGGGTCGCGGGTGGGTTGCGGGTGGGTCGCGGGGTGGGTCGCGGGTTGGGTCCGCAGGCGGGGTGGGTCGCGGGGTGGGTCGCGGGGTGGGTCGCGGGGTGGGTCGCGGGGTGTGTCGCGGGGTGTGTCGCGGGTGTGTCGCGGGTGGGACGGCAACAACAAACAACAACAACACCATCAACAAACAACAACAACACCATCAACAACCACAACAACACCAACAACACTAACAACACCACCAACAACAACAGCCGCAACAACTACAGCAACGACAACAACAATAACGCAACAAGCAGAATTCTCACCACAAATTCCCTATTCAGCCACGCACCCAGGGACAATGAATGACCGTTCGGCCCCCTCATTCTAATTTATATACATATATACATAAGTGAGATTACCGTGAAACGGGGAGCCCATCACCTGGAAATCGGTTTCAGTTTCGTGTTCGTGTCGCGTTTGCCGGTGATCCGAAGCTGAGTGGGCGGGCGAGAGGCATGAGCCCGCCGCTGCCGGGGCAAAACCGGGCTCAGTGATTTCTTCTCCCCGGTTGGCCCGCGGTTGCGCGGGGGGTGTCCCGCCGGTGTCCCGTGGTGTCCTGTGAGGTCGATTGTGAGATCGACAGTGAGATCGATCGACAATTCGATAGCGAGATCGATAGTGAGGTCGACGGTGAGATCGATAGATAGTGATACCTATACGACCACCCTTCGGGTGATAAGGAGGTTGTGGGTGGGGTAGGGGGGAGGGGGGGGACGAACATCTGACCCAATCGATCTCACTATCGATCTCACTCAACGGGACACCACGGGACACCACGGGACACTACGGGACACCACGGGACACCACAGGACACTTGTCGATCTCACTATCGATCTGACCATCGATCTCATTCAACGGGACACCACGGGACACCACGGAACACCACGGGACACAGTGGAACACCTCTCGATCGCACTATCGGTCTCACTATCGATCTCACTATCGATCTCACTCAACGGGACACCACGGGACACCACGGGACACTACGGGACACCTCGGGACACCACATCGATCTCACTATCGATTTTACTATCGATCTCACTATCGATCTCACTCAACGGGACACCACGGGACATCACGGGACACCTGTCGATCTCAGTATCGATCTCTTTGTCGATCTCACTCAACGGGACACCACGGGACACCACGGGACACCTCGGGGCACCACATCGATCTCATTATCGATCTGACTATCGATCTCACTATCGATCTCACTCAACGGGACACCACGGGACACCACGGGACACCTGTCGATCTCAGTATCGATCTCACTATCGATCTCACTCAACGGGACACCTCGGGGCACCACATCGATTTCAGTATCGATCTCACTATCGATCTCACCATCGATCTCACTCAACGGGGCACCACGGGACACCTGTCGATCTCACTATCGATCTCACTTTTTGGGACACCACGGGACACCTCGGGACACCTTGTGGCACCACATCGATCTCAGTATCGATCTCAGCATCGATCTTACTATCGATCTCACTGTCGATCTCACTATCGATCTCACTATCGATCTCACTCAACGGGACACCGCAGGACACCACGGGATACCACGGGACACCACGGACAAGGCGGGACACCGCGAGCCTTCGCCGGACGGGCGGGCGGGGAGAATCATTTGTCTTGACTTCGCCCTAGCAACGGCGGACACCACGGGACACCACGGGACACCACGGGACACTGCGGGACACCGCGGGCCACCGCTGGACGGGCGGGAGGGGGAGAATCATTTGTCTTGACTTCGCCCTAGCAACGGCGGGTTCATTCCTCTCGCGCGCCCGCGCAGCGTCGCCTCCCCCGCACGCACGACACGAACGAGACGAAACGATTTCCCGGTTGGGGGTCTCCGTTCCACTTCGATCTTACCCCCCAACCTCCGACCGATAGATAGAGGGAGGTCGATAGTGATATCGATCGGTAGATCGAGAGTGAGATCAATAGTGAGATGGCCAAACAGGTGTTCCGTGGTGCCCAACTGGAGTCCGCCGAGTCCGATCCGACCCTGATCGCACATCGAAAGCTGAACTCCCCCCCCCCCACAACCTCCCATTCTTCTTCTCACCCGAAGAGTGGTCGTATAGGTGTGTGCATATATATAGAGAAAGGGGGGGAGAGAGAGAGAGAGAGAGAGAGAGAGAGCGGCAGAGTTTGACATAGGAGTAGCTTGGCAGCTTTTGCGGCTTGCAGGCGTGGAGAGCCTGCCACGCAACCCAACAACATCGATATGGTTTTCTTCGCTGATGCAGTGTGAGCTCCCTGTGGGTTGTTTCTCGTGTCCAGTTTCTCGTTGATGCAGTGTGAGCTCCCCGTGGGTTGCTTCTTTTGTGTCCAGCTGCCGAAGACGGCGTTTCTGGCGAACTGATGGGCGTTGAATCTGCGGTTCCCTCTGTACACGGCGGCGCCTTGGGGGCGCCATATGTTTGTAGGCGCGGCCTTCTGTCGAGTTCGGCACGGCAGCGTCGAGCACCTGCAGTTGCCGTTCTGATGCTGCTTCTCTGCGAGCTCGTGCTGCTGGCGTGCCGCCTGCCATGCCGAGCTGCCGCTGCGGGGCGCGAGTGGACGGCACCACCAGAATCGGGGGTGGACAGAACCCCCAACAGTGACACGTCGATTAGTGAATTGTCCGTTTTCGGTTCTCGAGAGGGCGCCGTGGCCGTTATTTAAAGGCTGCCGCCTCTGCCGCCGACCCCAAATCAGGCCTCGTGATTTCTTTGGTTTCAGGTGGTCCCCGCGAGCTTTCCTGCAACAGGGGGGGAGTGTTCATATGGAGTATGGGTAGGCCAGGGCAATGCGCGCGTGTGTTTGGGCGTGTTTTTTCCTCTCTTTCTCTCGCTCTCTTCCTCTCTCCTTTGTGTCTTCTGCGGTTGTCTTCGAATCTTTTGTGGGAGTTTTGGGTCCATCTGGGGCGTCTTGAGTCAATAATTGCTTCTCTCGGGGCCGTTTTGGCCTGACGTGGGCGCTGTCTTGGGGTCGTCGTCGTGGCCCCTTTTGGGGCTATCTAGGTTCACGAGGGCAGCCCTGAGAGATTCGAGAATTCAGAGTCCCGGTCACTTCAAGACTCCTGTGGATGAGGACTGAGGCATTCGGCCCCAGGACACGCCCACTCCGTGCCCGAGGCACGGTGGCGGATTCCGATCCACTCTGAGGGACTTACATTCACCATTGCCTTGGGCCCAGCGGGGAAGGAGGAGGAAGAAGACGAGGATGAGCCAGGGGGCCCAAAAACAGAGCTCCAGAGGCTTGGGGAGCGGTCTTGGGGGCCTCGTGGGCGGTCGTGGAGCGTCGGAAAACTGGAAAGAGAAAAACATTGAAAAAATCAATGGGAATCAACGATTTGGGCCTGTTGGGACAGCGGGGTGCCGGAGCGCGGTGGGAGGTCCCGGCGAGGTTTTTGCAGAGTCGGGGGGCCCAAGAACAGAGCTCCAGAGGCTTGGGGAGCGGGCTTGGGGGCCTCTTGGGCGGTCGTGGAGCGTCGGAAAGCTGGAAAGCGAAAAACATTGAAACATCCAATGGGAATCAATGATTTTGGACTGCTGGGGCGGCGGGGTGCCGGGGCGCGGTGGGGGGCCCCGGCGAGGATTTTGCAGAGTCGGGGGGCCCAAAAACAGAGCTCCAGAGGCTTGGGGAGCGGTCTTCGGGGCCTCTTGGGCGGTCGTGGAGCGTCGGAAAGCTGGAAAGCGAAAAACATTGAAAAAATCAATGGGGATCAACGATTTTGGCCTGTTGGGGCGGCGGGGTGCCGGAGCGCGGTGGGGGGTCCCGGCGAGGTTTTTGCAGAGTCGGAGCGCCCAAAAACAGAGCTCCAAGAGCTTGGAGAGCGGTCTTGGGGGCCTCTTGGGCGGTCGTGGAGCGTCGGAGAGCGGGAAAGCGAAAAACATTGAAAAAGTCAATGGGAATCAACGATTTTGGCCTGTTGGGGCGGCGGGGTGCCGGGGCGCGGTGGGGGGTCCCGGCGAGGTTTTTGCAGAGTCGGGGAACCCAAAAACAGAGCTCCAGAGGCTTGGGGAGCGGTCTTCGGGGCCTCTTGGGCGGTCGTGGAGCGTCGGAAAGCTGGAAAGCGAAAAACATTGAAAAAGTCAATGGGAATCAACGATTTTGGCCTGTTCGGGCGGCGGGGTGCCGGGGCGCGGTGAGGGGTCCCGGCAAGGTTTTTGCAGAGTCGGGGGGCCCAAACACAGAGCCCCAGAGGCTTCGGGAGCGGTCTTGGGAGCTTCTTGGGCGGTCGTGGAGCGTCGGAGAGCTGGAAAGTGAAAAACATTGAAAAAATGATTGGGGATCAACGATTTTGGCGTGTTGGGGCGGCGGGGTGCCGGGGCGCGGTGGGGGGTCCCGGCGAGGTTTTTGCAGAGTGGGGGGTCTCAAAAACAGAGGACCAGAGGCTTGGGGAGCGGTCTTCGGGGCCTCTTGGGCGGTCGTGGAGCGTCGGAAAGCTGGAAAGCGAAAAACATTGAAAAAGTCAGTGGGAATCAACGATTTTGGCTTGTTCGGGCGGCGGGGTGCCGGAGCGTAGTGGGGGGTCCCGGCGAGGTTTTTGCAGAGCCGGGGGGAGCCCAAAAACAGAGCTCCAGAGGCTTGGGGAGCGGTCTTGGGGGCCTCGTGGGCGGTCGTGGAGCGTCGGAGAGCGTGAAAGCGAAAAACATTGAAAAAATCAATGGGGATCAACGATTTGGGCCTGTTGGGACAGCGGGGTGCCGGAGCGCGGTGGGAGGTCCCGGCGAGGTTTTTGCAGAGTCGGGGGGCCCAAGAACAGAGCTCCAGAGGCTAGGGGAGCGGGCTTGGGGGCCTCTTGGGCGGTCGTGGAGCGTCGGAAAGCTGGAAAGCGAAAAACATTGAAAAATCCAATGGGAATCAATGATTTTGGACTGTTGGGGCGGCGGGGTGCCGGGGCGCGGTGGGGGGCCCCGGCGAGGTTTTTGCAGAGTCGGGGGGCCCAAAAACAGAGCTCCAGAGGCTTGGGGAGCGGTCTTGGGGGCCTCGTGGGCGGTCGTGGAGCGTCGGAAAACTGGAAAGTGAAAAACATTGAGAAAATCAGTGGGGATCAACGATTTGGGCTTGTTGGGGCGGCGAGGTGCCGGGGCGCGGTGGGGGGTCCCGGCGAGGTTTTTGCAGAGTCGGGGGGCCCAAAAACAGAGCTCCAGAGGCTTGGGGAGCGGTCTTGGGGGCCTCTTGGGCGGTCGTGGAGCGTCGGAGAGCGGGAAAGCGAAAAACAAACAACAAATTAATGGGAATCAGCGATTTTGGCCTGTTGGGGCGGCGGGGTGCCGGGGCGCGGTGGGGGGTCCCGGCGAGGATTTTGCAGAGTCGGGGAACCCAGAAACAGAGCTCCAGAGGCTTGGGGAGCGGTGTGGGGGGCTTCTTGGGCGGTCGTGGAGCGTCGGAGAGCGTGAAAGCGAAAAACATTGAAAAAATCAATGGGCATCAACGATAATGGCCTGTTGCGGCGGCGGGGTGCCGCCCCGATTTTGGCCTGTTGGGGCGGCGTGGTGCCGAGCGCGGTGGGGGGTCCCGGAGAGGTTTTTGCATTGTGGGGGGGCCCAAGAACAGCCTTTTCTCTCGGGATGGGTGGGCATGCCGGGCGCAGGAGGGGGGGTGCCGGAGCGGGGGGAGGCTGGCGGTGTCAGACGGTCCCGGCAAGGATTTTGCAGGGTGCGGGGGCCCGAAGAACGTATGCCCAGGAGCCTCAGGAGGCTGGCGGGGTCAGACGCGGTGGAGCCGTGGTGGAAGGGTCCCGGCGAGGATCTTGCAGGGTGCGGGGGCCCGAAGAACGTATGCCCAGGGGCCTCAGGAGGCTGGCGGTGTCAGTCGCGGTGGAGCCGTGGTGGAGGGGTCCCGGCAAGGAATGCCAGGCCAGGAAGGGGTCCAGGTGGGGGGCGTTGATGGTTCGGGTCCAGGAAATGTCGAGTCGGGGTTCCCAAGAGCAGAGGGCGTGATCACAGCTACCTGGGGTGGGGGTGTGGCCGAGTTTGGTCACTTTCCCTCACACGCCTCTGGGGTCGGCGGATTTTCCAGGCCTGCGCCCGCCAGGTTTGTGCCTCAGGTCGTTTTCACTAAACCACGTTTTACTAAAGGGGGGTCTGTCCATCCCCGACAGAAGATTCGGCGCGTGCTGCTTTTGCGAAGCCAGGCGTTGCTGGTAAGGCTGGATTCTTCGAGCTTGCCCCTGGTTATACTGAGGCTAAGTTGCTGAAGGACTTCACGTCGTGTTCCCGTACGCACAACCTCCGTATGAAGTACCGCCAGAAGCGTTGGGAAATGTATTGTTCAATTGCAATGCTGGTTGAACGGGGCGTTATACCTTCTTCTGCGAAGGCAGCGAACCGTTTCAAGAAGCTCGATGTTAACCGTGGCCAGCTCGATCAGGTCATTGCCATGTTGGCATCTGGACCGTTGCCAATGGAGAGACCTGATGGACTCAGAGCTGGCCGCAGAGGTGCACAGGCTGCAGGACCAGACCTGGTGGAGCACGACTGAGACTCTGAAGTCCGCTTCTCAGTAGCGTGTCCAACGGCTGTGGCCAGTCATGCTCTCTTGCTGGTGTGCATCCGCTAGGAGCACGGTCCACGCGTGCTAGGGTGTGCGCGCGGGTGGAGCACGATGGGCTCAGGGACTTGTATCCGCCATTTAGCGAGTAAGCTTTGAGTATCAGCTCCAGGTGCTCGCTCTGGCGGTGCTGATCCGCACGCTCACTACAGGCCGAATGCGGAGCACCCCGCAGTTGCGGATAAGCGCGATGGGGACGACGGGGTTGTCGGCAGGCTGCGAGGCTCTGAAGAAGCCCGCGGCAGGCGCCGATTTTTTTTCAGACGAATTTTGCGAAGAGCCCGCCGCAGGCGACGATTTTTCGTCAACGCAGTGTGAGTGGGTCGCGGGTGGGTCCCGGGTGGGTCGCGGATGGGTCGCCGGGTGGGTAGCCGGGTGGGTAGCCGGGTGGGTCGCGGGGTGGGTTGCGGGGTGGGTCGCGAGCGGGTCGCGGGCGAGGACGACAACATTAACGCAACAACAACAACAGCAACAACAACGGTAGCAGCAACAACGCAACACCAACAATAACAACAACAATCATTTTAAGGCTGTCCGCTTTTATTTGATCGCGAGCCAGGCACCACGTATATCCCAAACCCTCGATACCCGCCCTCTTTGTCTTCGACCGTACCCCGTTGGGGGTATATCTTCCTTACCTGCCACGCACATTTTGCGCAGCCTCTAAAACAGGGGAAGAGAGGACGGACGGATGGGGGAGGGAGAAGGATGGAGCACGAGAGAGGGCCTCTTGGAGTAAATCGTGAGGAAGTATCGGGCGGGAGCCCTTGTCATCGTGGCTGCGCCTCTGCGGGCTGGTGCCTCAGTGGGATGTGTCGGGGGGGCCTCAGTGGGCAGCGCGCTGGGGCCTCTGTGGGCGCGCTTGGCGCCTCTGTGGGCTGGGGCCTCTGTGGGCGCGCTTGGGGCCTCTGTGGGCTGTGTTGGAGGGCCTCAGTGAGCAGCGCGCTGGGGCCTCAGCGGGCGCGCTTGGCGCCTCGGTGGGCTGGGGCCTCTGTGGGCTGTGTCGCGGGCCTTAGTGGGCAGCGCGCTGGGGCCTCCGTGGGCGCGCTTGGAGCTTCTGTGGGCTGTGCCCGGAGGCCTCACTGAGCAGCGTGTTGGGGCCTCTGTGGTTCGGGGGCCTCTCTGGCCAGGGCGTGTAGGGTACATTGCGAGGGCATTTCGAGCGGGAGCCCCTGTCGTCGCAGGTGGGCCTCTGGCACCGCTACTGAATTGCAGTCTCGGGCCACGGGCTCTCGAAGTACAGCTTGAGGATGTATCGCACGGGAGCCCTTGTCGTCGCGGCTCGGCCTCCACCAAATTGACTGAATGACCAGAGCGTCTCGAGCGAGAGCGCCACTCTTGAGTGCGGGGGCCTCTCTGGCCAGGGCCTCTGCGAAAACATTTGGAGGAAGTATCGAACGGGAGCCCTTGTCGTCGTAGTTGGGCGCCCACTAGTTTGACTGAATCATGAGAAAGTCTCGAGCGAGAGCGCCGCTCCTGAGTTCGGGGGCCTTCCTAGCCAGGGGGTCTCGGAGTAAATCGTGAGGAACTATCGAGCAGGAGCCCTTGTCGTCGTGGCTGGCCCCCGCCAACTTGATTGAATTGCGAGGAAGTCTCGAGCGAGAGCGCCGTTTCTGAGTTCGGGGACCTCTCTGGCCAGGGTGTCTCGGAGTAAAATGTAAGGACGTATCGAGCGGGAGCCGTTGTCGTCGTAGCTGGGCCTCCAAGGGCCAACTTTTACACTCAAGCCAACGCTCGAGCGGGAGCCTCATTTTCAGAGAAAGTGTAGCCAGCGTTGAGGTGAGAGCGCCCGGAACCGTTTCCGGACATCAGCAATAATCATTCTTTAGAAATGAGAATTCAACAACAACGCAGCAACATTCCGCACCGCGGAACCCCACTTCAGTCACGCGCCCAGGGATAATCAATGACCGTTCGGCCCCCTCACTCTGACCATATGTTATGCACTTGCGTGGCCATTGGTTAGTATCACAGCTCGACCTCGGACTTCTTTGCCGAGCGCCAGGCGGTGATCGTTGCTCAGCTTTCTGTGAAGCCCGCTCTTCTAGTTTGTGAACGCCTTGCTCACTAATCCAGCTGCGGCTACTCAGGTGTTGTTCGCAGATCAGGTGAGCCCGTTGCTTTTCCCCGCGCCCGAGCGTGTCAATCCTGCAGGGGGAACCAGAAGAACAACACTTTGCTCGAGACATCCTCAACAAATCTATGTTAGACATCCGCCTGGGCGACCTGGGCACGAGAACCAAAGCGTCTCGCTCGAGACGTTCTCAACACCTCCTCATGCTAGACACCTGCCTGAGCGACCTGGACACGTGAAGCCAAGCGTTTTGCTCAACACATCCTTAACACATCCTCATGCTAGACATCTGCCTGGGCGACCTGGACACGTGAAGCCAAGCGTTTTGCTCAACACATTCTACACACATCCTCATGTTAGTCGTCAGCCTGGGCGACCTGGGCACATTAAACCAAGCGTTTCGCCCAATACATCCTCAACATCTCCTGACATTCCTTCAGCACCTCTATCCTCAATTTCTAGAGGAGCACGGCTTGATCTGCACATGCTGTTTGAGTGGATTCGCTTGGGGAGGATGTGGGCTGGGTCTAGCAAATATCCTGCAGGGGGCTGAGGGGACACGACCAGGGCGTCCTTCTATATGACAGCAGGGACAAGGGCGTTGACCCTGACAGAGCGCTTCGTGATAATCTGTTCCAGACATCACCAACCATGCGGGCTCCACGTGGGCGCACATGCCAATTCCATGTCGAAATCAGCAAGGCTGTCGTGTTGAGTTTAATCGCATGCTGTACGGTGTTCCCGACAGATCGGCTGAATGTTTTGCAGCGTGCGCACCGCTGTCTCGCAGGGGAAAACCATAAGGCCACAAATGCTATCATTCAACGACCATGGGAACCACTGTGTTTTGCATTCGTCAAGTTGACCAGTGTAGCGGGATTGTGCCGCGTGGTGCGCTCACTATCTTCCTGTGCGTCAGAGGCGGCGCGCGTTGCATGAGTTTGGGCACCGCAAGGCCAGTCGTTGGCCCCGCTCGGCCACGCAGAATGGGCGCGGCGCTGACGTGAACACCCGCACGGCGTGTCGTACGCGTGGGTGGCGTACGCGGTGGATCCCGCAATTCGGTGTCCCGCCTGGCCCGACCAGCACTCCCGTCCGCCCAGCCTGTTAAGGTTCGCCAGTTCGGCCTACTCGTCAGGGCCCCTCCGTCTGACCCAAGTCGCCCGTTCGAATTTGGGGCCCACGCGATGGGATTCCACGAGTTAGTATGCCGATGGGCATCTTTTCTCCACTTCCCATCGTTCCCTCAATCGCGAATTTGGGAGACTTGTTCACAAGTTGTGCCTGGGGGATGGGGAGAAGGGAGAGCAGCAATCCATGTACATGTTCATGCTCCTATGCATCTACATGTACGCATGTAAATACAACTACACACATATGCATATCCATAGACGCTAGCATACACATATATATATATATATATACATATACATTCACAGCCATACACACATACACATACGTTTGCATATTGATACGCGCATGCGCATGCGCATGCACATACATGCACACATACGTATACATATATACTTACCCATACCCATACCTATACGTATACACCTGGACATACATATACACATCAGCATCTACATCCACACATTCGTTTACATTTTCGTATACGTATACGTGTACATAACCATCTATTGCGAATGCTTACGCCGGTGCCGCCGACCCTGAAGGACGACGACGACGACGACGACCACGGCCACGACCACGACCACAACCACGACCACGGCCACGGCCACGACCACGTCCTCGACTACGACCACGACCACGGCGACCACGGCGACGACCAAAAGCATGCAACAGCTGAAGGAACGTCGTTGATTTGCCCTCGCGGGGTTCTCTTGGGAGTGCTCTTGGAGCTTTCTTGGGCCTCTTACGACCGAAAACATTCAAAACCTGAGGGCACATCGTTGATTCTTCAGGCTTACGCCACATCCGCCGACCCCTTGTTTCGAAGGATCCCTTGTTTCGGAATAGCGAAAGGCGACGGCTGCTGGATTGTACTTCCGCCTTGCGGGGTCCTTTTGGGATCTTCTTTCCGCTCTCGGGATAAAAGGTGGCCGTGGCCAACGGATTTCCTCGCCGAGGTGGCAAATGTGAGGGAGGGTGGTCCCGGAGGCAACGGCTGTCGTTCGCATATTTGTGGTGGAGTACCTTTTTCGCTTGTACCTTATACCCACAAACCAATCCAGAAGCCGAAACAATGCGAGTTCAGATGATGAGGGGCGCGAGGGGACGTTTGAAGAAACAGCGGGCTGGGGCAACGAGGTGGCCCGGAGATGGAGCAGCAGCGGGCGAAGGAGAGGAGGCAGAGGACGAGATGGAGAAGGAGACCAAGCAGTGCATTGGCACGTGCCAGAGGAAATTTCCAAAGTGTGCTTCCTCCGTGAACTCGAGCAATGTCGCGCGTGACGAGAAAGAGGGCGCACTGACAGGCAATGCGTGCACATGTTACCAGTAGGGCACCCGTGCCATGGCCAGTAGCAGTAGGAGCAACTGGGTCCGAGCGAGAAGGAGCATCCGAGAAGGGCGATGAAACGAGGAACGCAAAGAAGACGAAAACAGAGGAGGATGAGGATGAGGATGAGGATGAGGATGAGGATGAGGATGAGGATGAGGAGCAGAGGATGAAAAAGGAGGGATAGGAAAGGGAGGAGGAAGAGGAGGAGAAGGGCGGATAGTAGAAAACGGAGTGACAAAAACGGAGACGGCGACGGCGACGACGACAACGAGTGGCTCTTCGGAGGCCTCGTGGGCCTTTTGGGGCTTCTTTTGGACTTCTGGGGCGCCTCGCAGGGCCTCTTTTGGACTTCTGGAGCGCCTCGCAGGGCCTCTTGGGAAGCCCCCTGGGAACCATTTGGAGCCTCTTCGGCGACCTCTTGGAGCTCTGGGGGGCATCTAAAGCCTTCTTGGAGCCTGTTTGGATCCCCTCTTGTGACGTCTTGGGGCCCTCTTGGGCCGTATTGGGCGCCCCTTGGGCCGTCTTGGGGCCTTCATGCGCCGTCTCGGGGTCCTCTTGGAGGCCTCTTGGGCCGTCTTGTGGCGGTTTTGGGAGCCTCCTGGGCCGACTTTGAGCATCGGGCAGCGGAAAAGGCGAGGAGGCTGAACATATACGTTTTACGATGGGAACGGGACCATTTTTGAGTCTGGGGGCTCTCTTGGGGCGCATCTTGGAGGCCTCTTGGGCCGTTTTGGAGGTCTCTTTGCCTGTCTTGGAGTCATCTTGGTCGTCTTGGACCGCTCGTTTGGCTACTCCAGGCCTTCTTGGACCGTCTCGGAGACCCCTTGGTGCGCTCTTGGCCCGTTTTTGGGCCCTCTGCTCCCCCTTGACGCGTTCGGCTTACGACCTAACACATTCAAAACCTGAGGGCACATCGTTGATTTCCCCTCTTGGGGTTCTCTTGGGAGTGCTTTTGGGGCTCTGTTGGGTTTGTTGGGGGCTTCTTGGGCGCCTCTTGGGGCCTCCTGGGTGCCCCATTGGGGCGGAAAGCTCGAAATGTCGGTTGTTTTCCCTCCTTTCAGGAGCCTCCTGGGGCCCTCTTGAGGCCCTCTTCGGCTGTCTCTGGGGCCTCTTGGGCCGTCTTTGGGCAGTCTTGGGCCGTCTTGGGGCCGTCTTCGAGAGTTGTGGGGCACTTTCGGCAGCCTGTTGGGGGGCCGTCTTGGGGCGATTTTCGGGGCCGTCTCGGGGTGTCGGAGGCCCGTGAAGGCGAGGACGGGAACCTGTTTGGAAAACACTGAAAATCAATGCTTCTCTGGTGGTGAAGGGGCTGCACTTCGCAGCGCACACCGACCCGTCGGCCGGTCACGTCATCACGGCCGACGTCGGGGTGATTGATCCCGAGAGCGGCGAGTTCGCTCGTCGCAGCACCGACGGGGACAATTCGCTCCGCTGCTTTGATCAGGGCGGGCTGCAGCTGAGTCCGACTCAGCACGTGACTATGCTGCGCGAGCTGATGAAGGAGATCGGCGTGATTGAGGCCGCGCCTCGTCAGGTGGCTGTTGCTCCTGACGACACCAGCAACAGCCGCGCGTGCCGCGTCGCCAACGAGGCGATCGTGCAGAACGCGGTGTTGCACATGGTCCAGGACAGCGTGCACGAGTACGTGTACGAGAACGCGGCCACTTTCGGCTTGGCGCCGGGCGGGGTGGGTTACGTCGTGGCCAACCCGACACGCGGCGAGCGGTTCGCGGTGGGCCGAGCTGATGCCCTGGAGCAGCTGGTCAGCCCGGGAGCGGGCGCGGCCGGCGTGCGGTTCAGCATTCCGCGGTACCTGCGCGACAACCCGTCGGTCGTGTACTCGCTGGAGAGCAGCCAGTCGATCACGGACGGCCAGAAGCGTGGCATGCAGAAGCTGCTAACCCAGTTCCCATCACACTGGCTCACGACGCCAGTGGCCGGGGTCGGCGGTCAGCAGCACTCGCTGCTCATTGACAGGGCGAGCGGTGTGGGCGCGGGGCGCGGCTACATTTTCACGAACGGCGAGACCGATCAGAATCTGCATGCCGTGGCCGGGCTGGCGCCGGACCCTGGCGCCACTAGGCGCGACGGCACGTCCGGCGGCACGGGCGTCATGGCAGGCGGTGGCGGGATGGCGACTCTTCAGCCTGGCCAGCCGGCCGGTGTCCATCGCGGCCTCGAGCGCAACGAGCTGATCGACGCGCTGGAGCGCACGCTCGACGCCATTCATGGCTGGGAGTTCCTGTACAGCTCCTACTTGCGCGCGAGCATCATGTGCGTGTTCGGCATGCATCCGCAGGGGCCGGTTGATCCTTCCCTGCTGGGCATGCCTGCTGGCGCGCGCCCTCTTTCCTCGCACGGCGGCGACTGCATCCTGACGAACGTGTTCGGCCAGGCCGGCGTGCAGGTCAGCCTCTCCAAGTCCACCAACTGCGAGCTGTTCCTCATCGGCTTGTACAGGCCGGTGCCCGACACCAGGAAGACGCAGGTGCTCAACGAGTACTTCGGCTCCTCGGGCGACGACGCAGCTGGAGCTGCCGCCGGCACGACCAATGACAACGAGGGCAATGACAAGAAGGCCGACGGTGGGGGCGCTGCTGACGATCCGCGGAAGAAGAAGGCGAAGAAGGCGCTCGCGGCTGCGACGCGCCGCGATGCACGAGTCGTGCGCGGCCGGGCGTTGCTGCAAGATCTCTTCGCGATCAGCTGCAACGAGTACATCGACCGCG